TATACATGTTTGTATATGATGGTATGATTAATGGAGATTCATATTTTTATTTGTCGAGATTAGATCTCATAATTAATTACAACAATGCTGATCTAAAAATCACACTGTTTAGCATTACACATTAATATATTGGTATTAATAATATAGCAGTATGATCATCTCGAATAGTATTTATATTGATTTATGTAATTGAATGTAGAGATATTTTTCGTTCAAGATATTATCTTAACCGATGTACTGATTGGCGATCATCTATCGGGTAGAAATGACTCGACCTAATTGAAAATAAACGATGCTCTCCGATTACAAGAGATACGATCTCTCATGCGTGCTGCGTTTGTCTCTATGTTTCTCTCTTGCATTACAGAGAGAAATTAATTGCTTGGAGAAAGGTGATATTGAGCCATGTATTTTGTAAAGAAAAAAGGGTTAAATCCGTGATGACTCGCGAAATAGCTCGCATCATATTGATGAATCATAGAGGAATTCGATCTTAAAATATCATTTATGAATTAACTCTGATCAACGAAATCGATATGTAGAAGATCAATATTCATTTCTTTTAGAAACATAAATTTATTGTCTAGTAAAGCCTAATGATTTAAGAATGTATCAGGTATATAGTCTTTGCAAAAATAACTTGAAAATTTAGGCTTTTCTTATAAAAATATTGTTATATAAATACAAAATAAAATTTATATTTAATAAATATTTATGTTCAATAATACAATTTTATAGTTTAAATGAAAACTTTTATCTTAATTATCTTAATTATTTTTTGTTTAATTATATTAATTATATTAATTATTTTGTTTAATATTAATTATTTTTTTAAAATGTCTACTTTTTATTAAAATAATTTTTAGTCTCTGATTTTAAATTGCTAAACATTTTGCATTGCTTTCATATACAATTTAGAAAGTCTGTAATCCTTTTATATTTTTTTAATTTTATTAAAAAATAAAGTACATATAATACATTCTTAATGTTATTTGAATGTACACTTTGAATGAATCACACGAGGAAAAATAATCTCAAGAGAATAATTAAAAAATAACAGTAGAGAGAGTGTTGTTAATTAAAATATATGTTTGCGGTATATATAATTTCAGTCTTTTTAATGTAATTGAAATGTCATGTATTGTGACTGTAACGAGGATCTGGCTTTCTTCGTGTCGTTGGAAGCTTGAAGCCATTAAAAATATGTACTGTATACTTCCTGCTCCTTCCGTTATCTTCATACGTCTTTGCGAACGTAAACGACTACACGATTATTTTGATTAAAATTTTATTTTGCTGGGTTATGTATAACCGGCCATATAAAAGTAACGGCCGCAGTTTCACGGCCGTATGAACAAAATGCTTTCACGAAGACCGCAAAATATTTTGCGTTATTTCCTCAATCAGAAACAGACAATTCATTTAAAAGTTGTAACGAAGAATTATGGTACTTGAATTTTCAGTTCACGCCACACGATGAATGGAAAGATTAGACAAACTTTCACGTTGAGCTATAGAAATCTCAATTTTTTTACTAGAGGAAATATTTGCAAATTTCTCGAATACAATTCATTGTTAAATCTCACTGAAATTGCATATTACATTTGACTGCATAATTATTATTACGACTTTCTAGAATAATTCTAAACAATTATTGAGTTACGAATAACATAGCATTTATTATCGCACGAATCATACGGAAAAAATGGTTTCTACAATACATTAAAAAATTTAATTAGAACACAGATTTAAAAATTTTTTTAATTATCAAAATAAATATATAACTCAAGTTAATTGCTAGAATTAAAATTTTTCGCACATTGAGAAAAAAGTTTGATAATTACATTCAGCAAAAATAATAATATAATTCATCATTTAATAATATTTAGAAAAATAAAATTATTTCATTTAACATTTGATAAATATTATCAGATTATTTTTTTCAATGTAGCATTGCTCATTCTACATAATTATTTTGTTAGTCCAACAAAATAATTTTCGGATCTAGCTAAATTTTTAGATTGTTAGTAAATTAGATACTTTTAGTAAAATCATTCTTTTTGTTCAGTTTACTATTAGTAAATCAATTTCCGAATCGATTCGAGATTTCAAGTCAGTTTCAGAATAAATGGAAAGGCGCAATCTCTCGTCGCGAAAACGGAAATTCAGTCGCACGTTCATGCGGATGTCACGTCATTGCGCGAGACTATCCGAGATCATTGCATTAATCTTTCACATGTATGCATATAATATTGGTACAACGTCGCTTTCACTGCTGTTGGTGTAACCTTTCCGAACGTTTATTGCAGCAATGCGTCCGTGAAATTTGTACCTATGTCATTATGCATATATACATATATGAAATCTCTCTCCCGCAAATTTTTTCATTGACCCTAAAGAGCATGAATAATTTTACACGGCAAATGCAATGCGAAGAAAAGTCTATTTAAGAGAAGCTCTTTGTAACATTTTACATTTACCTTTTTTAGTTTTCGTCTTTCTAATATTCAATTTCTTTAATGTCTCTTTATTCTTGTTTCCACCGATGTAAGATTAATTCTAATCTTGGTTTAACTTACTGTGTTTATCTTTTTCTAATTTTTAGAATGGCAGGAAAGATAAACAGTAAATAAACCGAGATTAAAGTTAATCTTATTATACATTAATAAAATTGAATATAAAAAAAAAAGTGTTATAAATATTTTATGCTTATCTTTCTTAGATTTTCATGTTTCATATATTCAATATTTTCTTTCTTCATTTTGGTCTTTATATATTAGATTACGTAACTTATAAATTTTTTTTTGTATTTAACCGAGCTTTTCGATGCGTTCGAAATGTTAACTTTCAGGTATGATAAAAAAATTGCTCTTAAAATTATAGATATTAAGACAAGAAAATTAGATATGAAAACAAGAAATATAATTGCGTAGTAATATTCTTAAAAAATTATGTTAATTGCAACTGATATTTGAACGTACGTTGAAAATTGTCAAGAAGTATTGCAAAATATATTCCCGACGTGCATAAATTCGAAATTCCGTATTGAAATGCAAATTCTACGCAAATACATTTGAACGCTTCATTTCCTGGGATCTCTTTCGGGCAAAGTGCCCAAGTGAAAACAGTGGCCAATCCGATGGTCTGGAAATACGCTTAAAAAACACGTCGCCTCTGATTTCAACGTTTTGTTGTAACTAGGGAGATACTGTATGCCATGAATGCATTATCGGGAAACAATGGCGAGAAACAACAGCAAGAATCTATTAAAATCTGACTATATTTATAAGTCTTAGACGAAACCGTCTTTCTCTCAAATTAAGCGATTACATTATGTAAGTTATTATCTTTAGTAATTAATGACAAGAAAGTTAAAAGAAAGAAGAAAAAGGAGAATAGTAAAATAAATAGTGCACTTATGTAAAATTAATTAATTATAGACGTTAGCTATCAGACGTTAATTTAATTAATTTATTAAATTCTATATACATTCTATATATATTCTATATATATATTCCCGCTGAATTTATCGAAAGTTTTAACGAAGTATCGATAATAATACTGCTGTGATACAGCTGTATTATTTATAGGATTATATTTATAGGATTAACGTTGAAATTTTTAATTTCTGATAAGTAAATTCGGATCATGAATATATTTAAAAAACATGTCATTTAGATGCATGTGTCGCAAAAAGAGATATTTAAAAGACATTATGTAGAGTGACCATTCAAAATAAACGTTAATGAAAACATTTAAAAATAAAATATTCATTAAATTTATCCATTAAATGAAAATTTATTTATTATGTATTTTTTTAATCGTGTGAATTATTGCAACTTGCTTTGTAAACTTAGTTAAATTTTAATTTTAATATTTTAATAACATTAATCCTTCGCTGTCACACTTGTTAAATTGACCCTAAAAAGCTTGAGAGTTTATATCTCTAATTAGTATATCTCTGATTAGTATAATAATCACTCTTTTATACAATAATTTCACACTTTTTTTCCAAAAATAACCTCCTTCATTTCTTAAAATGTGTATTTTCTTGAAAAACAAACTATTGCATTGTCTTTTTTAAAAAATGTTATATGTATAGAGTATAGCTATAAAGCTTTTATCAGAAAACATTAAAAATTAAAACGGTTATAATTTTTTTAATAAAAATTTTTTCGTAATTATTTTCGCAATTTTTTTTTAATAAAAAATTAAAATTAAAATCTTTATGAAACTGCTGTATTTCTATATTCTACAATGTTTGAAGTTCAGTAATTTTTTCCTTCTATTTCAAAGAACGAAAACTGTAAATACAGTAATCCGTTACTGAATCGTTTTTTTGACTCTGATCATTACGGAACTTTCAAGAATTGTGACAATAAATAACAAAATTAATTTAATGTTATTTATTTATTTGTATGTTATTTATATTACACAATTTGTATTTATTTGTATTACACAAGAATCAAATAAATCTACTTTTTTCTGCGTTATAAAGTCAAATTGTTTTTTATCAGTAACGTCAAATCATGAATTTTGTTTTGGCAAAAATCAAATGTGAAATGGAAAATATAAGACTTTATTATTTGTAAAGAGTGTTTGTGTTAAGAACCATTTATAAAATTTTATAAATAAAAAATGAAAAATTCCTATTGTTCTTTAGAACAAATGTTTCCTTTTCCATCTTTATCATTGTTAATGTTATAAAAAAGTAAATGTAAATATAAAGTATTATAAGATAATTAATAGATAATACAAAATTATTGCAAAACCAAATAAGTCCAAAAGTTTTTATTTCTTTTTTAATAGGTCCTTAAAATATTAATTAAAATCTAATAATTTAAATCTTAATTGTTTTCATATCTATTATTTGTTCGGATAAAAATTACATATTTATACAATAAACGTTCGAAAACGAGAAGTTTTGTTTCCTGAAAATTTATAACTTTTTAAACTCGTTTGATTTCTGTAAAAAGCTTCTGTATTAAAATATTGCTTACCGATAAAACTGGTCCATCGTAATATCCAAAGAGTCAAAAGAAGTTTGCCAATCATCTCACTTCTCTAGACAATCCCGGAAACCTCTTTAAAAGTCCACCATCATTGTGGATGGTCATAAACCCATCATTCGACGGTAAATCGCATTAGGAAGATTTGTGCATTCTGACGTTATCTTACTTGACGTTAAAGCCGGCAAGAAAAGTTTCTATGTATTCTATGTATTAAAAAAAAGAATCGATAAATCGTTCTTTTTTTCGATCTGGTTTATTCCTGCAAGACCGATGGTTCATTTGTTTTTCTAGTATAGCAACATTGAAAGATCGCCACTAGTTTGTTAGGAATGTGTTCCAAGTGATAGTTCTTAGGTGATAGTTCTAGGTCATGTTATCAATGTAAGAAAATTAAAACGTGAACGATTTCCTCATTGTGAATATTTATTTTGTGGTTCAGAACTGATTGAGATAGAGACAGGAAACGCTACATCGCAGTTTATTTTATACTTGTCGACTCAATCAGCCGTCTGCTTTCTCCGCCGTGAAAGAAATCCGACTCCAAATTCGCTTCTCTTGCGCAAGTTTGCTGTTATTACTGATGTTCCAACATATCCATAACGAACGCACGGATATTCGCGAGGAACCAGATTTCACGTTTCTCCAGTTATTCAATTCCGAAACGTGCGACGAAAGTTGCGATGGCTGAACATCAATTGTTTTCGCACGATTCTTGCCTCGAATTTCTTCTTTTTTTTTTCTGCAATTTCACCAACAAAATATCCGTTCGTTCGGAATTAATCTCTCGAAACGCCGTAGCTCACAACGTGATTTTTTTTAACAGTATGATATTTGCGCGTGTTGAAACGAGGAGAGAGAGCGAAGCCGAACGTGCGCTGTGTACGCGAGCAAGGTCTACAGGAGCACGAGAGTTGTTGCTGCCTCGTGGCCTACTATAACAGAACTGACTCCCACCGTGGTGTTACGCTGTCTCTTTACCTGTCACAAGCAACGAACGGTTTAGTAAGACGACGACCGGTCGGTTCCTCCACTTCACAAGTTCTCCACCGCTTTAAAAGACGACACTGGGGAATCGTACCTTGAAACTAGAAAGGACACTCTTCAGCTTAGAAAATGACGTGAAAAAATGCGATGGATAAAAGTTGAAATTTAAGCTACTGATTAGAAATCAAATATAACTGAAAATTAGTTTTTATTAAAATTTTAGTCTCTTTGATTTTCAGAACATTTCATTTATCAAAACTCAAAAGTATATAATAACAAACATCTAATTAACAAACTTATTGATAAAAGTGTAAAGTAACAAATATTAAGTTATTATAGTCAGGATTTTGTTTAGGGGAAATTCAAGAAACTTTTGAATAAAATAGAAAAGTAGTCAAGTGATATGGATTATTGGACTTATTTTGTTTTATATTTAATTTAGTTTTACATTTAAGTTTTATTTTTAATTAATTACTGGCAGATAAATCACAAAGTCACATATATTTATTTATTAATTAATTTTATTTTTCTCTTAAAATTGTAAATTGATTCTTTTAACTGAAGAAACTTAAATTTATAATACTAGCCATCTGAAATTTTCAACTTTTTTAAACTTTCACTTCTAATTCTTTCTTCTTTTCTAAAATTAATTTCTTGTCTCATTAAACATAATCCGTTTAAGCGATTTTAATTATTATTGTTCTTTGGCATGGTCCTTCTGCT